CACACACACACACGCACACATAGATGTGGTCATTCAGTCAGTCGGTCAGTCAGTTCAGAGCAGGTCCGGTCACAGCAGCAAACCTCCTCATGGCTCTACGGACAGCGGCATCCTTTTACCTGTGTTTCCTGCTGGTAAGTTCTCACATACTAGAGGATTTACAAATATATAATACTACAACAGATCTAATTCCAGAGAGGAAATGTGGACTATAACAACGGATGGTTAACCTGTTAATGAACTGCACAATGATGTGAAATGAGGGCAGGGGTCATGCATTGTGTTATAACTGTCGTACACAGAGGACGGAATATAAACTACTGTGTAAACTGAGTGTATAATATTCACATTTTCATGGATTACTGAGGAACCCTCCTTGCTTTTGTTGTCATGTCAGAAACACTTGTTGCTGCGGGCATGTGGTCTTGGGCTTGTGTTATTTCTGTGTATTGCTGGGTTACTTGCCAGCTTCTTGTCGGGCTGATATCCTCGCTTATAAACCATTCTGTAATCAATCTTTAATAAAAGATAATACTGTCATTCTTACTTACATTTATTCACCATAGTGCTTTTGCTACTAATGTCTGCTGTTAGCCAATGTGTTTGTATTGTAATACTGTACCTGTTCTGAGTTGAGTTGTGTATTTAATTCATTAACATACTCAAATGCCAAGCCCTGACTCACTGATAAAACACTTACACACACATTAGGCTTTTATAATATGTTTACACACAATAAAAAAATGCCTTTACATAAAAAAAGCTTCCTGTCTCGCCTGCAGGGAGTTAACTGCTGGCATGATCTGGACAACACAGAGTACGACTGTTGGCCGATCAATAGCCCAAATGATTTCAACATGATTAGCTGTGGTGGTGAGTTGATTATACATGTATGTGTCTGTTTGGGTCTCTGTTCATGTGTGAGTGTACAGTGTATTTGGAGTTGAGACAGCTGATGTTTGTTTTGAGTGATTTATGTCAGAACATTTACTGTAGGATGATTTTTCAAGGAAGGAAACATTTATTTACATTACTTTACAGTGAGTTAGGTGGGGCTCAACAGAATTATATGCAAACACAGTGTCTCTCCCCCTACTGCATGCGGGTGTATATTGTTTGAATGTTCAGGCGACGTGTGTTGTCACAGGTCTGGAAATGGCCTGGGTGCAGCGTCCTCCAGAGAAAGTAACCAATGGGGAAGAGTTCAATGTCTCATACACGGTGACGGCTTCAGATTCCTTCTACGAGTACACAGTCAGGAACAAGATTTTCCAGTTCAGGTGAGTGTGTTACACAAACACCTGGAATCCTGAACGTCTGCGTCTTACACACACACACACACAC